GAACATGAGGACTAATTTTTCTACCTCTGTGAATAATGCCATTGAAATTTTTTTCATTGTTTGGTGATTGTATTGAACACATAAATTGCTTTCAGTGGTACAGTCATTTTCACAATATTGAAATCTCCCAACTTCTAATATCTTCTTCAACTTTCTTTCTTCAATGTTTCATAGTTTTCACTATAGAGGTATTTCACTTTCATAGATAAATATATTCCTGGGCATTTTAATTTTTTGATGCTGCTTTGAATATATTTTTCCCTTTTACTTTATCATACTGTTCACTATTAGTGTACAGGAATGTTCATGATTTTTGTATATTGATATCATTTCCTGTTACATTGCTGATCATGTTTATGCATTATAAGATAATTTTATATAGTTTTTAGTTCTTTGAGGTATAAGATCATATTACCTGCAACTAGAAACAATTTGACTGCTTCCTTCCCTGTTTGAATTGCTTTTATTTTTTCTCCAGTCTATTGCTCTGACCAGGAATTCCAGTTCTGTATTAAATAAGATTAAGGAAAGTTATCTATTAATCTATTAACTCATAATTGAACATTTGGGTTACTTCTATCTTTTAGCTACTATAAATAATACTACAATAAATGTGGCTGTACAAACAAAGTCTTCAAGTTCTTAATTTTAATTTTTGGAATAAGTTCTGACAAATGAAATTCACATTCATATGGTACATTTTCAAACTTATTTTCAGGAGTAGCCATTCTGTTCTTCACAGCAGTTGGGTCACTTTAATTCCCAACATTAATGTGTGGCCAACTACAAAGTTTTGCAAATTTTCAGCAATATTTGTTATGTTTGCATTTTCTTTTTTCATTTACTTTAATGGTAGAGATAAGAATTTTATATTCCTCACCTTTTGTTCCATGAAGCATAGCAGTAGGGTAATGATTCAATGGTACCCCCCCATGTTTCTTTGACTTCTACTCTTGAATACATGGAAATTTGTTCATGATGGCTTCTTATGGCAAATTTACTAGAAAGCATTATAATCAGAATAAAAGGAGACTGTGGTAATGTACATAGTTGAATCTACTCATTGCTCTAGATTGCAAAAATCAAATCTAACAAAAAGATAAGAATCTATTGTGGGATATTTAATTGCTCATAAACTAGCTTCATGCAAAAAACTCCTGGCAGCCTCTAGAAACCCTTTAAGAATACCACTGTCTTAGAGCTGGTGAAAGGACCTCTGCTACCTGCAGGTCTACATTCACACTGCCACTTAAAACTCCATGATTGATAACTTTGCATTCATTTTTATTTTCTGGAATGTTCAAGTTAATACTATCACCAGGCTGATCAATGCAGAGCCAAGAAATGGATTGCATTTATCCGGGGCTAAGACTAAAGGACAGTGACCAACCAGGGCACAAGACTGTCATGGCAAATTGAAAAGTAGATAAAATCCCCAAACTGGATGACATTTAAGGTCAGTCAACTGCATATGTTTAAGGTATGCAGAGGTATTTCTGTTTAATGGTTATTAAAATTTCTAAAACCCCAACTCCATTGAATATGAAAGTATTTGATTATTTCATAATAGATCATTGTGTTTTAAGTATTTACAGTCATCAAAACATAAGTTTGCATTGAGAAGAAAATTAATTCAAGCTGAAAATAATGGTAGGTATTCACCTCTCACTGAGGCACCAGAGTGTTATGCATCAATAGAGTACTGATAAATAATGTTAATCTCTTTTACTAATAATCCTTTTTTATTATTGTATGAGGGTCACATTGAGACACTTACAATTTTTTTGCAATATATCATAGTTGAATTTGCTCTGCATCATTCTCTCCCATCCCCTCTTACCTTTGTTTGAACAATTTTAACTTGTTTTAATCTTTATTAACAAGTGTTAAGCTTTATTAGACTACTGATAAATAATGTTAAGCACTCTTACTAATAAGAATTTATTGTAACCACCCCTTATATTCCTTATATTTTCCATTAAATAAGCTGAGATATTGGCACCAAGGAAGATTTAACTCCATAATGACAAGTGTTAGTCCCTTCATTGGGACCCTCAGTGCATTCAGTGAAAGGCTATCAGTTGTGCAGCCAGCTGAACTGCCTTCATGGTATCACCAGCTGCTTTGAACATCCCATGGACATCTTGAAAAAGCTACAGACAGCCACCACTTACTATTGACATTCAAATCTGGTTCATCTATGCAAATATCTTGCACCAGACTTGTCTCCACCACAAGACTCAGTGAACTATAGATGACTTTGAAGCCATTTCCACCCAGACCAGAGGGAAAGCCTTCCCCTTATTGCCCTAAAGAAAGCCTCTTACAGTAGCAAGATCTTTCATTTAGGACTGCCAACTGATGAAAGAAACTGTGCCATGATGGGTGTAAGCACAATACATTATTTGAATAAGAGACCTGCAAAGATTGGTACTCATCCCCTATCACAACTATCATGTGGCTATATAAGATGGTTGTTCAGTTCACTTGGAGACCCAATATAACCACCTGTCCTGCTCCCTGGTATTGAAACATTAGATCCCAATAAAGACTTGCTGATGTGGTCATCCCTCTCTACTTTTGATTTTCCCCATTAGTAAAGCAATATAACTGATAGCACACAGAAAAGAAGGGTGCAATGCAAGAACAAATGTGGGGTGACTGGAGAAATCCAGGGAAAAGAGGATTCCCACAACATTAGTGGCCTCAATACCAACGTCACTGAGGTCAACTGTGGTCATCAGGCCTACCCTAGCCTATGAGGTCAGAGCTAACATCTGAGGCTGCTAGGACCTGTGGCAGAGCTGACAGCAGAGATGTGGTGGTGGTGGTAGTGGTGACAGCAACCATGACGAAAGCAAAGGAAAGAAGTAATGGAAGCAGTGAGGGGTGTCAGAAGTACAGAAGGAAAGCTAGAGAGAATGAGATGCTGGCACTGAGGAATGTCAGAGTGCTATGGAGAGCCAGACAGAAGAAAGTACAGACTGTGGTCAAGAGCTATAACACTTGCTGCCATTGTGGACTGTCAAATGCTCTAGGATTGGGAGCCTGAAGTACAAGAGCAGCAACACTTTCCCCAACCATGAACTGTTAAAGACTCTGGGACTAAACTACAGATTATGAGAACTATAACACCTCCATGGAGAGTAGTGAAGTGCCTTGGGTCTGACTTAGAGATGTGTAAGTCTATGAGTCTAAATCAACTATCAAATGCTTTGGGTTAGAACCCTGTGTAACAGGAGCTGTGGCATTAAACTGCACCACCTGCTGCTGTCCACTCTCATCCCCCTCTGCAGCTTAAAAAATCTTTCCATAGGTGAAGAATATATGTGGGGGCTTCTCCATGACTCCCCTGCAATTTCTAGATAAGTACAGCAGAAAGATCCTAGCTAGCTGGTTTGTTGCAAAATGGGCTTTCATACTGTGCATTTCTAAGGAAATTATCTTAACCAGTATTGTTGGAGAAAACATTCTTTTCACCTGAAGGAGAAAGCACCCTAAAGCATGCCTTCTTAAGTATCTATAGATCATCTATCAGCCTCTTAAAACACAGTTTCTCATTCTGAATTATAAGGTTAAATTGCTATTTTGCATTGGCAAAATGCTCCCTCTGATTCTGAAGTAGTGTTCACTCCTAAACAAATAAGATGCAAAGTAATTTCATATTAATGGAAAAGAATATCAAATTGACATTTAGTGTATCAGTGTCACATATTTTTAATTAAAGGATTTCCATTTCTTGCTCAAATATTTTTATCAAAGGATTAAGAAATTTTCTGGTTTTTACCTCCTATTCTATGACTTAAATAATTTTTCATATTATGATCCTGCATTTGCTGGTAGTACTTTAAAGCTCATCCAAATAAATTCTGAGACCATCTCACTGGCAAAATTCTGAAATTTATGAAATAGGATACATATAATATTATACTATTATATAAAGTTAAACTTGTCCTAAGCATGCATCCATACTAGAATCCTTATGTAACAAGGTACAATTGTTAATATTCTTTAATCTAATGGAAAGCCTACATAAGAAGCATACTATGTAACAAGTAGCTGAATTTCACTCAATCACAGCAGCATGCCAGGCAGCAAACTATCAGACCATATTCAAATGAGGCAAACCTGAGCTGCTACAAGCTTGCTGTATCTATCTCCTTTTCTTTCCTTATGTTTTTGTCCATAAATGTTGCCTGGTCACATGGCACTTCACTACTGTGTGGGTTTGGAGGGTTACCAAATTGCTTTGTTATTCACATCAACACTGCTAAATTTCCTTTGTTGAAAAGTTTTCTTTTACCATTAGCCTGTCACATATCAAGTCATCATTGTAACTTCTGGAAGCAATTTTTAGCAACCCTTTTCCCTGTTGGTATCCTGCATCCTTGCTGGATGAAGGCCTTCCTACAAAATTAAAAGTTATAAGAGGATGATTCAATATTCATTGACATCTGTGACCAGATAGATGGACAGAGGAGAGGAGTGGAGGATTACCCATGAGGAAATACAAGCAGCTAAAGCATCAGAACTCCACCATAGGGCTTTCAAGACAGGGTAGAAGACCACAGGGTGACGCAGCCTTAATTCTTCAGTAGCAGATGACCTCTGGCTTCTAGTAGAGCACCAGAGTAGCCACTGATTCCATTATGAGCTTTCCTCAATAATATAAACCAGGGTTTATAAGGATGTTCCTTAGATTTGAATTCTCTGCATTGCAGAAAACTCCTGATTGAATTTTCTTGAATGACAACTACTGTCTTGTATGAAACTAACTGATGTCAATCCCATATCATCAGGTGTACTCTTCTGAGTCCTTTGATGAACCAGTTTTATATCCATGTTGCTGAGATAAGCTAGAAAATAGAGTTAGGGTATAGATGAGAGTCTGTCTTGTGGTGATCTTCTGGGCCTGAATCTGAGAAAGGCTCTCAGCAAATGCAGGCACCAGGAGAAGCAGCTGGGCAGCACAGCCTCACACTTCTACTTCTCTTGGGAGTTTATGTTATGACTTGTATCACTGTGGGAGGGTAACTATTAGTCTGTTGACAGCAATAAGTTGCAACATCTTCATGATCCAGGCTGCTGATGGTAAGAGTGAAATCTGATCCCGATCCACTGCCACTGAACCTTGAGGGGACCCCAGATTGCAAATTGTTAGCACCATAGATCAGGAGCTTAGGAGCTTTCCCTGGTTTCTGCTGATACCACTGTAAATTTGTGCTAATGCCCTGACTGGCCCTGCAAGTGATGGTGATTTTGTCTCCTGGAGATGCAGACAGGGAGGATGGAGACTGGGTCATCTGGGTGTCACATCTGGCACCTGAAATTGGAAACATAAAAACAAATTTTCACATTATTAATGATGTTGTAAGAGGACTTCTCTGAAAAGGCAGGCAGCACTGGCCACACTGGGCTGAGTAAATCCCAGTGTTGTCCATTCCTACCTGGGATCCAGAGCAGCAGAAGCCCTACGAACTGAAAAGGGACCCACATGACCATGCTGTGTCCTAACTGGGACCTATTCCTGCACAGAGTGTGATCAGCCTGTTAATAAGTCTTCAGTGCTCTATGCACATGCAAATAAGTGGCTTCTGGCACAGCTGCAGGGCTGACTTATCTCAGTAACTCTGTACAGGCAGAGGGTCCTCAGATGTCCAGGATCTGATGAGACCAGCTAAGGTTTCCCCACAGAGAATGTGTTTTTCCCTGAGTGAGGGGAACCATAGGGCAGAGTTAGTCTACTCTCCTGTGAGTGATGTATTGCTCTCATCGTGTCTCAGGACAGGTTTTTCTTGTGTTCCATAATCACATCACAATTCTTTGTGAATGGTCCTACAAGAAGGGAGTGATTAAAGAAAACAAGCACTATTTCAAATTTAGGAACATGAAGAGAGGAAGAAAGGAGAATGTTTAAACTCTGGGAAGTAGTTTGGATTTCTCTAGAAAATAGCACAGTATGACTAACATGATAGGTAGGACATAGGTAATTGTGTTTTTGAGAATTTCCTGCTTCAGTCTCCCCAAACACAGACATAAACACATGATTATGCCTATCTTCTCTCAAAGATTAGGTCTGAGGATGAACCAAGCTCTTCCTCATAAGCAACATTTCTAGAGAAGTATAAATCTAGAAATAAGCTGTGTTATTTTTTTAAGAGAGGTATAAACAATCCTGGGCCTAAAAACTGGAATGAAAATGACGGCCCCAAAAGTGACTCATACAAACTCATGTTCAATGGGATTAGAGTTACTTACAGAACTGTGGATGACTACAGAGAAATGCATGTACCTGAACTCCTACAGTTACCAAAGTCTTCACCCTCTGTCTACTGAGCTCCTATTTTATATGTCTATATGTCTATAAGTCTATGGCAGAAACCTGGTCCTGATCTCCACCTAGTGTCCAAACAGCAGTGATAATTACAGGCTCAAATAACATAAGACACAGCTAGAACAAGACCCTGGAAAGTTCTGCTTTATGAGAAGATTTTCTCTGATGTAATCACAGATTTTTCTGGTCTTTGCAAATAGTGTCAGACTACAGGAACTTCTCCAGCTGTCAGACTAATATTTATGTCTTAGGCCATGGCTGTGATTCCTGTTCACTGCATAGTAAAATGAGTCCTCCGAGTTCCAGCCAGGGTAACTCCACCTTGCAGCAAGCTGCCATTTAGTTGATCTACATAACAGAGTGCAGCAAAACAAAAAGTAGAGTTATTGCTAGGCTCTGGACATGCCATGGGAAGAGGCAGAGTAAGTATTCAGCCCATCTTCAGCCATCTTCAGGGTGCAGACATGTTAAAAATTTAAATAGACGAAGAACTGGGAACAGGGGAAGAGAAATATGCATAGCTTAAACAGTCTCAGTCACAGATGTAATTTGGTTGGTCATTATCCCAGTCCTTGTTCTGGGAAAGGTTCTGGGACATGTAATCCAGAGTCATTGTCACCTAGCATGTGTTTTATGTGAGGAGGCTTTGCTGTTAGGAGTAGTTTCTGTCCCTTGTCATGAAAATATTATCACTTCTGTCTTTCCTGGAATCCAGGTGATTGGAAAGTGATAGCAAAGAGAATGGTTTAGAAAAAAACATATACAAAGTGAAGGAGAGATGCTATGTTTTTCTCCTGTTTTTAATTAATAAAAACAGAACTAAATTTCGTTAGCATGGACCAACGGCCACTCTGAAAATGGAAAAAAAAAGGTAAGGGTGAGGCCCTGGTTTGGGGAAAAATAAGAGGGCTGTGTGTGATTCAGGAAGGAAAAATGTACAATACCCTTGAGCAATAAACCAAGCCAAGAAAGTGCAAACTGGCCTGGATTTGTGGGCCCATGCTGATCTCTGTGGTCCTTAAGCACCAAGATTCTACTATAGCAAGAAAAGCTATAGTCAGCAAATATTGCACACAACAGTTGTGTCTGTCAATTCTATTCTATACATAAATTAAAGGAGTATGCTCCAAATGTGCAATATATAGAATATAAACGGTATCAATGTATCTACAACTACTATGGATACAAAGATAGTAGTAGTATACATATACATATTTTGCTTGTCAGTATCATGTATCAGTCTAAGATTGATGAATTAAGCTATGATATTCAAAATCAACACTCGTGATGCAACATTGTGTCTTACTCTCCTAGTGAGAAGCCTGAGCATCATGAAGCCCAAGACGTACCCACCTGTTCCTGCTTGTTGAAGCAGTAAGCTTCCTATTGCTGAGGACAGAGTGACAAAATTGTATCTGGAAACAAAGAGCAATGGGGGTCTTGGAAACAGTCAGTAGGAGCAGAAACTGCAGCAAAATTTTGGGTCCAGAACTCATTACGGGTGGCTCATCTCTTGGTTGCTCCCATTACACAGAGCAACACATAGGGTCAGTAGTTGTGTGAACACAGGACAAGCCCTTCTACATCCCACTAAGAGCCTCCCATGTATTCACCCATTGTATTAGAAGCAATGGGTGTTTCTGCCCAGCTTTCACAGCTTATATGGCTACCCACAAAATAGGCTTTAGCTGCACCATATAGAAGTCAACAAACATCTGCATTGTCTGTGCTCAAATTACCACAATTTACCAATGGAGACTTTTCTGGGGAGATTCCTGGGGTGCAATAGGATGTGAGGTCAACAATAGATCTGCATATACATGAGAAACTGGCTACACAGCTGATAGACTTTCACTGAATGTACCCAGGCTCTTAGTGAAGGGTCTAACACTTTTCATTATGGAGTTAAACTACCCTTGGCCAAATATTATATAATATCATTATCATTTATAGTTTCATTAAAGTCATTAACATCAGCATTATTCTTAGCATTCAAGAAAATATAAGGATACAAAGTCCCAAAATCTCAGACAATTTCTAAGAGATGTCTATATAGAAGTATTTAATAAATAAGTCATGAAAGAGTGAGGATTAGTAGAAAAGTTTTTGGAAGAGTTTTATACTAATTTAATTGGGGATACCAATTGAGAACACTGTTGAGGACAACTATCACTCAGTTTTTCCAAAGTCTATATGAATTTGTCTTCAAAAGGTGTTAGCCCACATTTGAAATGAGAAATACGAATCCAAGTGTTTCTTGCTCTGAAATTTTTTTGCACAGGAGGTAGCTAGAAGAAAATGATACTGTTTGTTCCACTGAGGCTGAAGGGGGACTTTGACGTGGTGTCTTTACCAATGCATGAAATTACCTGATTTAGCTTTCATTCACTCAATTCTTCATCTCCCAGGAACTCACTGTGGAATCTGCAACTAATTTTGAATTTTTAGTTATCATTTTCAAAAGCCCATTATATTTACCTATAATGTTGCCTTTCAAAAAAGTGGATCATTAAGTCTTTTGTCCATTCTCATAGGGCACCCAGTAATTATTTCATTAAGAGAGATTTCATATTTTTCGAAAAGTGTTAGATGTTAGACTCAGAAGCACTAATGAGAGTACTTCTGGACAAGAAATCTCAAAAGCATCAGTGAACTTTTAATAGTGCCACTCATTAATTCAGGAAATCCAGAGGATTTTGAATAGTAGGTAAAATGAAAATGGTTTACAGTAGGCCTAACTTTACAAATAGATTTAAACATTTTTCCAATAAAATGAGTTCCATCTTCATTAGGCAATTAAGTAGAGATTCAAGGAGAAACAATTCTTTCTAATAGATTCTTTCCTATACTGAAGTAATGAATTTCTTACAAAGGAAAACTTTAAGTCAATTAGATAATATACAATCCAGAACTAAGAAATATTTATATCTTTGTGACAAAGACATTTGTTTAAATCTAATGATTCAGTAAAGGAATATGTCCCTGTGCCCATGAAACAGTTTACCAGGATTATGTTTAGGACAAATACATCATGTTGAAGATTCCTTGTGAGCTCTTCTCAGGAATAGTTTCCAAGAACATTCTTTGAATTGCCCATTCAGTTACGTTATGCATATATTCCAGAAGAGGCAGTTGAGGACATATGTGTATTCATTTGATATTTGTAAAGACTTTTCATTAGGTCCCAAACAAAAATTATTTAGGGAATTGAATATGTAACCCTCTTTTTGCCAGAAATATTTTTTGTTATGTTGCTATCTCTTGTTCCTGAAGAAGAAGGTTGGTGACAGAATCAATAAAGGGAACAAGACTGATTATTTCATGCCTGTGCAGTTCCCTGAAGTGCAGCTCTTTTTGCTCTTGCATTAACCATATAATTACTTTTTGATTCTTCAGTATGTGTTTTAGAATGTCTTGGGATTTTGATTATGGCTAATTGTCAATTAGAGAACAATGAACAAATTTTGAAATTGTTTATTGTTTTAAATAGGTTAGATAGAGGAAGTTAGAAATCCTTTTTTCCACAAAATAAAATGTACATGCACTACTCCAAATGCACAGTGGCATTCTGTGTAAATATTAGCTGCTTTTTTTCCTAAATGGCATGCTCTAGTTAATGTTATGATTTCAGCCAATTGACCAGATTTAATCCCAAATAAGAAATCTTGATTGAAGCAAGAGTCAAAGTGAGAGGATTCAAGATGGTGGCTAAGGTAGGAAATGAGAACTCCTAAGCTCCATGACATCAGAAACCTCCTTGAGATGCTGGAGCCACACTTGGGTAATTCTGATTACTCCAAGTCAAAATAATAAACACCATAACATTAGATGAAGATAAAATTCCAAGACTGACCCGTAAATCAGCCTTTAATGGCACCTAATAGCCACAAAAATCCCAGCTGGCACAGTCAGCAAGGCTTGTCTGGCCTCTGGCCCTGGGGAAGGAGTTCCCAGCCACTTCCCTTTTTTTTCTTCTCCTAACAAGCAGAGGTCAGAGCACCAATCAGAATCAAACTCTGTGACATGCTGGACCCCTGGCCCATGGAAATCCTCCCTTATACCACACCTCACTGAAAAAGCAGCACAATTTATTCAGATGGCTCTAAAGCTGCCCCTATGAAACTGCAGAAGGAACAGATGAGCATCATGGACCACACATGACGCCTCTTATCCCCACCCCCAG